GTCTGTGAGCTAATGATATTAGAGGTGATAATTGGGTAAGCTATCTTTATAATGGGTAAGATAATTAGTGTCAGTGTTTTGGTTTTGTTCTATTGGTCAAATTATATTTTTTATTTACCAATGTAACCATCATCCATTCTCTTCAGATTATGGACTCAGTGACAGTGGGCAGTTCCATTAGTCTTAAGTAGAATTGTACAAATGACACCAATAATATGCGGATGATTCAGGCTCTATATATTCTATGATTGGTTTATTTGCCACAGAGTCCACCTTTTGGTATGAAAGCGTGCTGCAGCTTTAATTTTTGTTTGTCTACAATCCTTTTGGCTGCAAAGATTAGGGATGTTAAAAATTGTGTACTGGAGTAACTATGTAACCACTGAAAATGTTTACACTGTTACACTCTGTGGGCTCTACAGTATACAGCTTAGCTTACAGAATCTGCCACAGTGAAGCCGCCTCCCCAGGAAGCTGAGTGTAACTGACACCATTAACAGATAAGCAACTGCTTATTGGTTAAACGATTAATCATGTACACTCTAACATCCTTAGTAAAGGCAACCTTAAAAACATGAACATAATCTTTTAATTAGGTCTGACTGAATCTGAAGACAGTCAGAAACAAAAGCTCTAAGGTTATGTCTCCACTGCCACCCTAGTTCAAACTAGGGTGGCTAATGTAGGCATTCGAAGTTGCAAATGAAGCCTGGGATTTAAATATCCCGGGCTTCATTTGCATCTTGCCGGGAGCTGCCATTTTTAAAATCCCTGTAGTGCGGACTTCATGCCCGTGGCTACACACGGCACGGAGTAGATAGTTCGAATTAGGCTCTCTAATCCGAACAGTAATGGTAGTTTGAATTAGAGAACCTAATTCGAACTACCTACTCGGTGCCACGTGTAGCCGCGGGCACGAAGTCCGCACTAACGGGGATTTAAAAATGGCGGCACCCGGCAAGATGCAAATGTAGCCCAGGATATTTAAATCCCGGGCTTCATTTGCAACATTGAATACCTACATTAGCCACCCTAGTTCGAACTAGGGTGGCAGTGTAGACATACCCTTAGAGGTATTAACTGATTCATTAAGAGAAATGGGTTAACTCAGAAATATATGTAGAAATTTGTAATATCAATATTAACTACTTTGCTGCTCACCATTTTGGAAAAAAACAAGAGAAAACATGTTTCTCAGGTCTTATTCCAGTAGTGGAAGTCCAAACAGCCCCCTTCTCCAGCTGCTGAAACTTTCAACTTGCACCAAATCTTTCTGACAACTGAGAACCGTAAGTATTACAAAACACGCAAACTTTTGTTTTGCATTTAATATGATTGTACGGGCATTTTAATTTAGCTAATTAATATATTTCAACTGTTATAAAATTGTATTTTCTGTAAAAATGAAAACTTTTGTTATCTCATGACTAGGAAAGTGTTTAGAATATCTTGTAACATGAAATATATACTCTTACCTTCCAACCTAAAATATTTAATTTTACAAGGATGCTGTCACAATTTTTCTAATTTGTAATTGTGGATTTAGTATCTAACTGAAATACATTTTTGGATATAGTATATGTGTGCAAAGAATACTTCCAGATAAGCACTAGATCAAGATAATGTTCATAACCAAATCATAATGATGTGCATTGTCAAATTACTGAACACAATAATACTTTCATTGTTTATTGTGCACTTGAAATGCAGCAGTGCCAGCAAGCGTTAAAATTATGTGGTGAACGAGTATTCAGTGAATAAATATTAGAGAGACATGTATCAGCAAATACCAAAACCATAAGCACAAAAATCCCAGAAGCAGAATACATTTAAAAAAATGTGACTACAGGCTTCTTAGAGAAAAGTTACAAATTGTCTCAAGCACTTTCGGAATTTAACAGGTTTTAGGAACAAATAAAAAATATAAAGGGCATTTTGGAAATTTATTTTTCAGTTGATGGGGAAGAACAATCACCTTGTATGAGGTTAAAGGACAGGATGGACAATTTCTTCCTGTATGATCTTGGTCAAAATCATTGAATCCCAGTGTGCAGTACTTTACCTATTGTAATGTGGAGAACAAGAATACCTATACACAAGGGTTTTGTAAGCTTCCTGTTGTAAATTTTGGACCTGATCCTGCAAATAGCATTGCATACAAGTAACTCTACTAACACGAGTAGTTAATAAGGCTACTTATGTTTGTAAGTATTTGCCAGATCAGGGTCACAGACTGTAAAATTCTCTGGATATGTACCTTGTCTTCTAATATGTTTGCATGCCAATTATGGTAGAAAACAAAACTAGTACAGGACTTCCAACAATACCCATTTCTCCACTATACTGAAACTGATGAGATATCCTTAGAAACAAAATTTTGAATTCAGAAACAATGGGAAAAGATTTTAAATACAAAGACACATTACCCATTCAGGGACAGAACATGAGCACCAAGAAATAACCATAATAAGAATCATTTTGAAATCTATATTCATACTATATAATATATTGTTAATCTTATTATATGTTATCTCCAAAAACTACACTTTTATATTAAATACAAATTCTGAACCATCTCTAAGAGCTTTGTGCACAAATTATTCACTCAGTATTATGATAACCATTATTACAAATGTGCAATACTGAATAATATCCAGAATAGCAAACACACTTCAAATATTCTAATTTTAAAGGCAAAAAAGGGGGAAAGATATAGCAGTCACCCTGAGAAAGATACTACCAGAGAATTAGTTGCATTGCCTTTATTCTCCCAGGCAGAGCTAAATGACCATGTCTAGACCCATGAAATGGCATGCAAAATCCATAAACATAAGTATAGCAATGACAATGAATCTCTGATATGTTGTGCTATTTAAACATATTTTCAAGTTCTCCATTGACTAACACAGAAATTGTCACACTGCACCATGACATTGATCTCTCTAATACAGTATAGTGGTTTCAACAGTGGTAAATACTTGATGCTTCAGTGGAAAATGATCACTCTTCTCACTATGCACTATGTTCTTAGACACTTATGCAAAGCCATATATACAGAGAGATGGCTTTCTGATTGCAGCAGATTAATTTATAGCTTGAATTCTAAAATATTGGCATTCATCTTTGCTTAGCTGAAAGTGTTATCAGAGTATCTATCAGTACATTTTAAAAATCCACCATAGTTGTTTACCTTCTTGATTTTCTGTGACAGTAAATTCTGCAGGTACCCAATATGCAAGAAAGGATATTTCCTTTCACTTGATCTAATTTTGCTGCTCTTTAATTTACTGACTGTCCCCCAGTATACAATGAGGTAAGAGAGGGAATGATTATCTCTTACTACCTCTTCCTAATTTTGAATACTTTGAATACTAGATTTTAAATGTTTGCTAATTAGAAATATGAGAGTCAGTAAGACTATATAAAGCATTAATTGTCCTCTTCAACACGCAGCTCTCATTCCATAAATTAAGAAAGAGCTACTTAAGAAAGTATCTAAGATTTGCTTACTGTAACATGTGGGAAATTATGGGGGGGCATTAGGCAAACCAGAGTGTCAGACAATTATTTAATGATAGTAGATGCTAAGATTCAAAAAGTTAAAGCCTTATAACCATTAAAACCCAAATTGGCAACATCATGTCAAAAAAATACGAAGTAAATACAGTATCCTTATATTCAGCTCCAATAAATTCTCAAGCAGCATTTTTTTTTACTTTGCTTATCTGCAAATAATGATTATGATCAATATAAATAGTTTTGCCGGTTTGTGCCAATGGGGGAAAATGAGTGTTTACCAACATTTACCAATAAAAACCTAATCTTCCCAAGACCAACTGCAGTTGATCTAGTTTAGAGGTGAGAAACTTGCACTTCTCACTGAATGCAACTGGAACAGTCACAATACTTCACCCCTGTTAGCTTATTCCCTTCCTCACCTCAGTTTAGGCGGCCCTTTCCTTATCACCTCTCCTCAAACTGACACTAGGAACTTCAAGCCTAGTTTTCTTTATAATTCTTATGGTAAAAATCAAGTTTACACAAATCAGTTAAATATGTTTAGAGTTAACACTTAGGGCCAAGTTTAGTTCTGTCATAAACTGGTATAATTCCTACTGATGTCAGTGAGAGTTGCACTGTTTATTGCCAAGGATGTCTTCATCATGTTGGAACATACACATGTATGTTCAAATTTCCTCCTCCTTTTCTCCTCATTTGTTTATTGCCATGCTCAAATGTAGAGCAACTTGGAATGCTGTGCATGCTTAGCTTTTTAAAATGGTCTCTTGGGTTAATGAATGGTGGTTTAAAGGGTATTTGCTAAACAGACAGATTATAACCTTATAATGTGGTGTGAATAAGAAGTGGAATGTAGCTGCTAAGTGTCAGAATCAGACTAGAAAATGAGTTCTGACTTAGAGAATCACAAATATTAAAACAAATAAAAAGACAGTAATACAGGCCTTAAAAAGTGTGACACTACCTTTGTTATGGGAAGTGAATTAAGCCGTGCTAGTACTCCACTGTTTACTTTACAGAACTGCTCAACTGAAGTCGGGATATTCTACTAGACAAGACATTTTTGATAATTAGCAAATTTATCACTAAACAAGACTGGTACATCACAAAATGTGATTTGCTCATTTGACAATTGCAGTTTGTGATTAATAATCTGATATTTTGAAATGTACTAGTAGTACTGCAATATATTTTGTAACCGCAGGGTGTTGTTACAAAGATTTAATTAGGGAACTCTAATTGTGTGGAGGGTGGGGAGAAAGAAAAAAAAGATCAGGGAAGACCACCAGTCCTGTACGTATATTATAAAGTGATCAAAAAAGTAAATTTCGACTATTTTTTAAAAAAATCTAGAAACTACTTTAGTAAATACAACATATATCACTTTTATTTGAATTATTGGTATGATTTTAATTTGTTAACT